TCCGTATTTACTGTTAAACGAACTGCTGACTCCACTAAAGTCTAGTAAAAACTTGCCAAATTTTACGTTTGCTGACATAACATCTAACGTTACCTCGTCCACAATCCCTCTCCATGTCCCCACCACTTTTGAAACATCTCGCGGCACGGATGTACCAATACACATAAATAAAAGTAAAATAAGAGGTGATCTAGCACGCTGAAATGTGTTGTTTTTTAAATCAAGTGATCAAAGTGCTTGTTGACTCTGGATCAGTGGTGCAGAAACAGTGTTCTCTCGTGACTCGCGCACACCGCACAGTCTTCACACGGACGCGCGCTTTAATGAAATCACAAAATAAAATGCACACAAAATGTGTTCCTGACTGATATACAACCACTGATAAACACAATCGATTTTAATAAGGGTTTTTTAATAAAAAAGGGTACGAGGGCGGATTAGAACCCAGAACCTCTGACACGCTTGGCAAAAGTTCCGCCACTGGACCATCGAAGTACATATGTAAAATAGTCGGATGTTGAATGTCATTAAACAACAAATTAAATTCAATGGACTATTTACATTGATTGCTTGACATCGTAATGTTATTGTACAGGTATATCTGATTTATGATTTAGTGTTGTATTAAATGCCCCCATGAACAAAATTTTCTTGATAACAGGAAGGGTAAGTGGCACTCTGTTAATCAAGCAATATTAACGTTACACCAGTAATCGCTGAACATAAAAGCATCGCTGAACTGAATTGCTAAAAATGTTGGTAAAGCACATATCTCTTGTATTATCAGTGACGTTTGGACACCTTTATTTTCAATTCTCATTTATTTGTATAGCGCTTTTCACAATCAAAGCAGCTTTTTTAGAAAATGCATGTGTCTACATTACAATTTAGAGTGTCCGAGTTATGCATTTCAGCAATGTATATAAATCATGCAATTAGCTAATAATCTATTAATTTAAACAATGCATTAAGGCAGAAACAGTGAGCTGTAGTTTAGCACACTGAAGCAGGTAACAACAACATAATTCAGCCAAACGTATAAGGTTATAATGTAAATATAGATAGCGGTCTAGAATAAGGTTGTATATAGAGAATACGTGTTCCAATTGTAAACTACATGTTTTAATTTAGCTAGCTAACCTGTAATTTGCTAATTTTACTTTTATTTAAATTTCCAGGTCAACGTTAATTTCTCAACATATCTTTGTGATTTGCTGTTATCACAGTTTACAGCACAGCAGATAGACGGCATGTTGCAATTCGGTCCTACAAATGGCGGCCGCTCCACTGTGTGACGTCACATGAAATCTATGAATAGGGTGTATATTAGAGCTGGGTTTCGATTCAAATTTCAAGAATCGATTCGATTCCGATTCTCAAGATCTTGAATTGATTATCATTATTCGATTCGATCCGATCCGATCTGATCCGATTTTCGAGATTTAGATAAGTGTTTTTGTTTTTTTCAGCTGTTACCTGAATTACAGGACTGTAGTTATGCAACATATTGATACTATTAGGCTATTATGGACATTTAACTGCTTGTTTTGAACTTCATGCATGTGTATTGAATGTTAAACAAGTTCATAATGATAACAAACAAGACTGTTTATCGTGGTGATGTGTAGCCTACAGAGGCTTCGCACAGACAGTGAATGAGAGAGATCGGCAGAGCGCGTGCGGATTACCTGCGTCTGTCTTTGAAGTCATATGTATTCGTGAAAAAGGTTGCCGTGTCAAAGGAAAGCAAAATATTTGTCGTATCATCCTTTTAACGTTCACGTCACGGGTATTTACCATAAATGCGCGTCAGGAGCAGCGCTGGTCAGCATTCCACAGCGCGAGGAAGCCGCGGGGAAATAAAATCAGCGAGTCATGCATTGAATCAATGCCATATTTGCCCCTTGGCCTCTGTCCATCATGGCCTCCTAATCATCCCCATATACTGATTGGCTTCATCACTCTGTCTCCTCTCCACCAGTAAGCTGGTGTGTGGTGGGCGTTCTGGCGCAATATGGCTGCCGTCGCATCATCCAGGTGGATACTGCACATTGGTGGTGGTTGAGGAGATTCCCCCTTCAATGTAAAGCGCTTTGAGTGTCCAGAAAAGCGCTATATAAATGTAATGAATTATTATTATTACTATTATTAATAAGTGAAGCTTCAGCTTCAGCGTTACCCATGCGACGCATTGCTGCTCAGCTGAGCCTTGAAAAGTGGAACTCAAAGTTAAAAATAATTAACACCTTGTTACATCTCTTTTAATGAATCAGCTTTTTTGAACGTGTTCGTTGAATGAACGAATGACTCACTCAAAGCCCGTTGTTGTAACAGTGTGCGCGCTGAGTGAAAGCCTTTCAATGCGCATACAGGGATCTCCCAGTCGCGGCAAGTTAAAGTTCACGGGGAAAATGTAAGCCTATTATTAAATCGATCCTCTGAGTTACGGATCGATCTTTAGAAATTAATATGAAAATCGATTCAGAATTGGTGAATCGATTTTTTCAACACAGCCCTAGTGTATATGCATATCTTAGAACAGCGCATCAGCACGCAAATTAAATGTTTAACCGGCAAGGCTTTGAAGCACATGCAAATAATGAATTTTTGTGAATGGCAGTGTCCCGTGAGTGTAACTGCGTTAATATGTAATGTGAAGGTAAGTCGCATTGTACACAGTATGTTGGGACGAAGGGGGCAGAACTGCAACTGATAGAATGCACTGTAGCACGATACTACGATATTTCTTCAAAAGCAGATCGTAGAGATTTTAATCGTCCACTATCAACAATCGTGATATCGCACACCCCTACTTTAAGATGTGAAATAAGGATTTCTAGTCATATGAAGATGGCTTTTTCCATTGAGATTCAAACTAATGTTCAACCAAACACACTTCTCCCTGACACATACTCTGCATGCCTGCATTTTGTTGCCTAAGGTAACCCTTCTTCCTCATCTCTTCGTAAATATTTATGAGCCTGGGCCGCTGAGGTCTGTCTCTCCCCAAACATTTGACTCCCACACTTCATCCACCCAAGAAGGATGAATGTAACTGAAACACACACATACTTTCCAACAGAGTCAAGCGGCCATTTCCCTCTCTGAGCACACTCGGAAGCGTGCAGTATTTCCTCTTCCTGTTTGTTGATGGTGTGATTGCAGAAGTGGGTCCACATTGCCGTGACGTGGCCGAGTGAAGAGTAGCCAGTCTGAGGCGTGCCGCCCGGACCATAGCGCATTCAACTCTGCTTCCTTATTCCCCGAACAGAAATTTAGTGTGCCAGACATGAGAAGCGAGACAGCATGACGACAAGGAGCATAATAAAGTAAGAAAGATATGTGGGAAACAAGTGAATGGTGCTTTCAGTCTCTCTTCCAAACGTGGCATTAGTGCTTTAAACAATATGAACCAGTGTGACGGTTGTCATAAGCCGTGAATTAAAAACAGGTTATCTGATCTTTCGTTCTAGAACAGAGCTGTCTGGAGTCAAAGCTGAGATACTAATCATCACATTTACTGCAGTCAGCAGCGTCTAGAAAGAGCACAAAAACCACAAACATCCGTTAAGTACTGAGAGAAAGAACACGAGCGGTAGGCGGCAAGTCACATGATGCAAAGGGAACTGCACTGGGCCCTCGTGCATCAACCAGACGCCGATGCTGTGACAGCTGCAGTCTCAAATGATCTTCAAAAAACTAATTCGGCAACACACTGAAAGTAGGATTGTGATTATTTTCTATTACTGATGGCCAGTGTTGATTGTTAAGAAAACATACAGCATATTTCATCATTCCTCATCAGTGTGATCACATGGATTATATGAGTGAGCAAGAAAACCCTCAGGTCATCCTTAATCACGCAGCCTCATGACACGCAGTGTCTTCTCCAATGATTCTTTCAAATAACTTAAAGTGAAGACTGGTGATTTGTCAGGGAAAAATGTTATGCAAAAAAGTTGCTATAGGAAGTATTATGAGAAAGGGTTGACACGTGACCTTTGATGTCAGCAGAGCTAGTTTCGCTTCTCTCTGTATGTGCTGGCTGGTGAGCAGGGAAACCCTGGCAAGGCCCACAGCATTGTGAGAAAAAACAGATGGGCATTCATCTTTCTGACATTGCCATTCACTATTATTTCCTTCATGCTCTGCCGTATAAAGTGATTCATCTAAGACTGCTTTGACTGACAATATAAAATAGCTCTTAGTCTTTAGCAATGCTAGCTGTTTCTGTACTGCACTTAATCATTCAATATGAAATGGATCAGTCTAATGAATACAAGTACAGGCTGAGATGTTTTTTTAATATGCACTGGACAAACTCCATCATAAGTACTCCATAAGACAAGGTTCCTAATTTCTATTCCGGAACTACTGTCAATATTTATCCAATAAATTTCCAGGCCCATATAGAATGTATGCCCGCACATTTCATTGCCATTTACAAACATGAATGCATCTTTAGAGCTTTTCAAACTTCAAATATTTAACCCTGGGTCATTGTACACCCCATGTAAATGAAATCCTGGGTTATCTTGCTTCAATGTTTTACATTGCATATAATTTACAAGGCGTTAATTAATCCTCTGTATTCATACGCTGCTATTTCATACTGTATACTCCTAAACCCTGGGTTAACAACCTTATTTGCATATTTGCTGCGTCAGTGTCACTGCCTGGACGAACACCGCAAAACCGGTGCTCCAGAGCAGGTTTCATAACACTAGGTAAAAAGTGGTGCTAACCCAGCTTTAGAACAAAAATAACCTGGGGTTAAGCTCAGTTTAAACCCATTCAGCAGAACTCCCTCTAAAATGAGTGCATTTGATTGTTGATTACCCCCCCCCCCCCCCCCCACCCCCCACCCCCCACCCCACCCCTAAAAATTAAAGGCACCATAAAGCACACTAAATTACTTAGAAACAATCATAAATATCAGGTCTCTAAAAAACATGTGACATCAGCACAGACAGAATGATGACATACAGCTACATGCTTACCGGTGTTCCGAGTTTGTCCAAGTTATCCAAGAAATATTTCACAGATTCACCCTGAGAACGACAAAGAGCAGAGAGAATCAGTCAGGTTATCATGAGTCATACAATCATTAGTACAGAAAGTTAATTGAGGTTCATTTCTTCATAATTAGATTGACCTAGATGAACTTATGTGCTTGTGACAAAAAGGTTATTAGAGTAAAATGTTGTCAAATAAACCTGTCAATCAGCGAAAGTGTAAAATGTGCAGAGATATGCACTTCAAGAAATGAGGGCCTCATTCAACATCAGAACAGACGGATGTGACTCATGAAAACCCTCTGACAGGATGTCAGTAATCACAGACATTGTTTTTGGAAAGAAAATGTTACTGTAATCTTTTATTGACTCTTCTGTATAGGCTTGCTGAGGTAGTCAGTGTTACACAGTGTTCGGACCATAGACTGTAAAAAAAGATGGACGACGCCCCTTCGCTCTCTTCCATTGGTCAGAACTGAAGCCGCCAGTGTCCCGATATGGCGCTGACATCTTGGAACTTGAGTCTGTGCAGTAGCGATCTCGGGACCAGACCTGCGCAGTAGTGAGCAGGAAGTAAAGCCGCGAAATCAAGGCCCCGCCCTCACTCTCGCAGAATCAATCGCAAGCACACGCTCCTGCACTTTTTTAAAATTCATTATAGAAATTTAGATGTTAAATTTAAAGCTCCAATCTCCTCAGTCCTCCGAAAATCCCGAAAAAAAGTCTGTTGGTGCTTCAGTGACTACTTCGCTCAGAGAACCTGTCAATCACAGCTGTCAATCATGACGTCACACCACCGCATCAAATAACTAACTAAAAACAAACTTATTTTAAAAAGAAACACTTGAAATTACATCAGCGTGATAAAAACTACAGTAAATGACAGAAACCATCTTTGGAAAAACGATATTTGAAGTGTAATTTAATTGTTTAGTTGGTCTCACGTGCCGCTGAATAACATGGGGAGGCGGGGTTTATGACCTATACTAGGACCGGCCACCGGGGGGGCGATCGAGACGTTTTGGCTTCACTTTTCAGGGCTTGTGCGGCACGCTTGGTTGATTACATTACTTTGCTATGGTGGCACAGCCCCAATGTCATTTTATAGAAATAAAAACCATTTAGTTCAGTTGGACAACGGACACTACAATTATTAATAAAAAGCATCTGCTCCGTACAGCATGAGATGCAGAGTCGCAGCACAGTGAAGCAGGAGTCAGATTTCACTTATTGCATGTCGAGAGTAAGGAGAGATGACGAACAAGTCGATGGCGGAGGATTTGGTGTGCGACAGATCTTAAGCGTCATTGACAAATATCTTGTAAAAATGTGCGTTCAGTACCACCGCTCCCTAAACAGACAGTAAGCGTGAGGGCAGCACAATATTGGAAAAAACTGATATTGCGATATTTTGTAAGGGTGCTCCGATCGATCGGTCGCCGATCATAATCGGCCGATAATTGCTTTGGGATGTGTGATCGGCGGTCTCTCTAAAGGCCGATCCAGAAAAGCCGATCAGATGACGCAAAACTCGCGAGACAATTTTTTTACGCCCTGGTAAAAATGGCTTCACCGGTCTGGCAATTCTACAACAGGGCTCTCAAGTGTCAAGCATTGAGCGTGACAGTCACTCATTTCGGTCTTTTGTCACGCTCTCCCGCCACACATTGTATTTCTCACGCTGAAAAACTATTTGTAATATATTTAATATTCCGCAGCGGCCGCGCCGCTCTCACTGTGGAACCGGCAAGAATCAAGCGCGTTTCCTCTGGTGTTGTTCGTCGAGCTACACAATAGCCAATCAGAAAATAACACTTTTGTATCTGGGTAAGATTTAACGCAACAACCAATGACAAAAATGTAATCCAACCCCCCCCTCTCATCAAAACTGAATATGTTCATCAGCGGTTAGTTATATCAAGCAAGGATAGGTTTGTGTTTTATTTTGTGATGGGCTCTATGCACGGCGGTATTTCCGGTGAAGGTCTAAGGATGCTGGATTACTTCCGCCGATCGTAGAGTCCAATGCTATTCCGAGAATTTATATTGGTTTTTATACTCTATTGCTATACTAAAGAAACGTTAGTCACAAAACCAGACAAAACAGACACTCCTCATTTTGTTTATGCTTCTTTGTTTATTATTTTAAATAAACATAACTATATATAAAATTACATCTAAACGTATTTAAGTTTCGTTTCAAAGACGAGAGGACAGTACATTTTGTTTCCTCCGCTTTAAATCTCCCCAACCGGAAACGCAAGAGCATCCTTGCATCAAACGCGGAAGTTATGCGTGCATATAGCCCATTACACCGGAATGAATAGAGTCCGCAACGGCGATAGATTGAAGCGCGCGTCCGAGTGAAGACTGCGCGAGGCACAGAGCACTGTATCCATGCAACTGATCGCCGCGGCAACGAGCGCACAGCTTGAGTTCAAAAACACATTTTAGCGCTAGATTTCTTATTTAATAGCGAACTAAATGAATGACCTGCTAGTTAACTAAAGATGTTTTATTTATTTATATTAGGTACATGGTGGGACAGACTTCACTGGATCTAAAAAAAAATCAATCTAACCATAGATGTGACCAGTAGTGGTGGCTTTCTTAGTCTGTTTAAAATAATTTTGTAAGGGTTCTTCACACACACACACACACACACACAAAGGTTTCTCTACCTCTCTCTTCCTCTCTAAATGCCCACAAAATCTGACTAAGCATCCCAGAAAAAAGCAAAGTTATAGATACAGATATTTGTATCTAGTTATCATAAGTTGTTAGTTTTTGTTTTGTTTTTTGTTGCTGTGCACTTTACTACCTGTGGTCCTTTAAGTGTATTAGAAAAACTGATGGCTGACTGACTCAAAACATTATTTTGGCTATAGCTTTTTTTGTTGCTGTTTTTAGTTTAAAGTAGTCTAAAGCTAAATTTAAAGACTCAGATGTTCTGTCTTTTATTAATTTTATTTTATATTCTACAGGAAAGTTGTATGTCAAGCCCTAAGCTGCTCCCAATAACCAAGCTGCTATGTTAATACATGTTCCTTGCAAAAAAATACACAGGTGTCAATTCATTATGCACCGTCTTCTCTTAAATGTAATACTTAATGTACATTGTTGTTAAATATAGTTTAATAAGTAATACTACATGATAAAAAGAAGTCTTCAAATAGACCCTGTAATCGGTGATCGGTATCGGGTGATACAGCTTCCAGTAATCGGCGATCGGCCCCAAAAATCCTGATCGGAGCACCCCTAATATTTTGTTTTTCTGCTATATAGCTATATATATATATATATATTGCGATATGAAACCATTTCACCAGATGATTGATTAGCTTTATTTGGAAAGAATTAATCATTCATAATATTGATGTTGTCGCAAGTTTATTTAGCAGTGTGAAAATTTCAACATTTTTAAGAGTTCATAATGGTGACTCAGGGCTGTACCAGAACCACCTACTGCTTTAGTCATCAATTTGTGACAGCTGGTCTCAGTATGGTACACCAACTCCAGAAATGAACTCGTTTTGCTTTGATTTTGTTTGAAATTATGTCACACCAGTTTGTTCTCTCATTTTGCTTGAAGTATATCTGGGGCTTAAAGGGATAGTTCACCCAAAAATGAAAATTAGCCCATGATTTACCCTGAAGCCATCCTAGGTGTATATGACATTCTTCCTTCAGACGAATACAATCGGAGTTACATTAAAAAATGTCCTGGCTCTTCCAAGCTTGATGGTGGGAGTGAATGGGTATATTTTTTTTTGGAAACCCATCAAAGCGCATCCATCCATCCATGATAAAAGTGCTCCACGCAGCTCTGGCGGGTTAATAAAGGCCCTCTGAAGGCAAGCGAAACTTTATCGACTAAAATAACTAACTTCCGGCAGACGGCCGTACACAAGTCGACTTGCGCCAAAAGAGTAACACTTGACGATGTATGTATGAATGAATGACTTTATTTCGAACATGTAAAAGAAACAATAATAATAATAATAATGCAATAAAAGTTGGCTGATCATCTTAATCTGTTTATCTCCACACACCAAAACAAATAAAAAAATAACATACATATTTACCTATGTTTATATCCACCATAAATAATAAATTTATGACGTATGATGTAGGAGTAGCGTAAGCTTTGACGCCTCTCATGGTTCAAACAAACAGGGCTGTGCAACCGCGTACGTCATTACGTTGTGAGTCAAGTTCAAGGCTTCAAGGGTTAGTCTTTCGCCGTAAATCGATGCGTACGGCTGTCTGCCGGAAGCTAGTTATTTGTCGATAAAGTTTTAAATGAGGAAGAGCTAGGAAATGTTTTTAATATAACTCCGATTGTATTCATCTGAAAGAAGAATTTCACATACACCTAGGATGGCCTCAGGGTGCCTAAATGATGGGCTAATTTTCATTTTGGGGTGAATATCCCTTTAAGGAAGAACACACCAAGGCGCACAAAAACACTTTTGGTGTTTTTCTGGTTTGGAAAATGAAAATTGTGAGTAACAGGAACAAGCTGCCTAGGAAACAGTAACAGGGCTTGAGTTAATGTTCCGTGACGCTCAGATGTAGGCTATAATGGATCAATTAGCCGCTTGCAATTTCAAGTTTGCCATGCTGACAGGACAGCAGGAAGGAGTTCTGCTTCCTTCTTAACATCATCCTCATCTTTCTCAGCCTATGATGGAGCTGTAGAGCAAAGCTCAGTGGGAGCAGTCGAAAAAAAAAAAAGTCTTCCTCATTTCCTACATGAAATACCATTTCAAAATATGCCAGCATCTATTTGCATCTTGGGGTTAGCTAAGGTCTACAAGAGGTACACGCAGGTCTTTTGAGGTGGCTTTCAGTAGAGAGGGGTTATGTTTGTCATAAGAAAACCCCTAGTAATCCTCCCCCAGCCGGGCATGCAGCCACAGCCACACTGTGCCGATCATCTTCAAAGAAGGGTGTGGGCACACAGGAACAACACGGTTAGAGCAGGCCAGGATATCAGTTTCTGAGCAATGCTAAAAAGGAAGTCCTGTTAACCTGAAGCAAAGCCCACTGAGCACTATTGGTTAACTGCAATCGGTTTATATGAACATATACAGTATATATATATACACACACACACACACACACATTTAAAATGTTTTTGAACGCAAAGTCACTTGATAATGTATATAACATATTACATAAAATGTATATGCAAACTGAAATATTCATAGAAAATAGGGATGCATCGATTTAGAAAATTTGGGCTGATACCGATGACCAATAATTATTTATATTTGAAAGCCGATAACCGATATATTGGCCAATAAATCTGAATCCAAGTTTTCATATAATTGTTGAGAGCCTGATTACAAAAACAAGTCTCACCATTAAAATCCATGTCCAAAGCACATTATTATAATGTTCTTACTATAATTGTACATAGCCTATATGACAGACTTGTATTGGACTTAAACTGTATTTTCCTTTTTTTTTTTTTTAAGTGATTCCAATAATTTTAAGCAATTCAAAACCATCATGGCGAACAGTGCACATCTAATGCGTCTCAGCTGAAGGAAATAATGCATTATTTATTAGTTTTAAGATAGTCCAAATTTTTTTATTGGGCCGATAAAGATATAAAAAACTAACATCTGAAACGTGCTATGATTAACATTTCCAAGGTGACTTAAATTATTATAATACAATATATTACGATTAATGTCAAGCACGCAAAACATGCACAAAACATAAACATTGGGATGTGTGCTGAATCATGAGAGAGCTATACAAGTCCAAGTTTATTTGTATAATGCATTTCCCAGTTTCAGTTTGTTAAGCCATATGGCATTTATAATAAATGTTTATGATGAATGCCACTATAATTTTCATTTTTCATTCCTGTTCTGAATAGTTAAATTTAAATGATTTATTGTGGAGTAAGGTGAATTAAAATACGTTTATAGTGCTTCTAACTTTTGTAAACATTGTTTTATTTATCTTATATTTATCATTGCACATTATTTCTTAATGTAATAAAATGCCACTTATACACAAATGCCACAAGCAAAAAAAGAGCTGAGCTGATACTGTCGTTTTCAAAATATACACAATATTCCCTAATTATAAAATCGCTAATATTCGATGTATCGCCCAGCTCATATATATATATATATATATATATATATATAAATAGACTTTAATAATATAAATTATGTTTATTTGTAATAATGCATAACAGTAAATGTATTTCTCTTGTATGTTTTTAATTTTATTTTATTATGTTTTTCCACACTTGATCCACAAATGTTGGGGAGTATGTATGGAATGTATGGAAGACCACATTTAATATATATTATAAGAAATAAGTAGCTTAAAGGAATAGTGTACAAATTAACAGCATTATGTGAAAGTCCCACATATTGGACAACCTAATTGTCAAGATAATTGCCAGACAAGATAATTAATAAAATAGCCTAATTGTTATCTGTATTAAATAAATAGAAATGAGCAACAGTGAGGGTCAGCAAAATATCTCCTTCCCTAGGCCTCAGATTTGCAGGCATGCACAAGGGTCTTCATTTTAAATCACAGCTCAACATTCCTTCACGGATCATGCAATCCTTCTTATTGATCCTGGTAATCTTAGGCTGGGACGAAGGGAAAGATAGGCAAGCCTGAGACCGGTCTCAGGCCGGTCAGCCTCCACAGAGCACTCTTCATTCAACAAATCACACTTACACCAGTCCAGAGTACTACAGAAATGGACAAAACTCTTTCACCCTCTTTCCAACTTTCCAGCTGTCCCTATATGGGGTGGACAGAGCACAGGAAGCACTATTTGGGAAACCGGGAGAGAGCACACTTGGGTGGATGTCTCCTATCAAAACATCTCTTCTGGTGCCTTCAATCTGCAGACATCATGGATTCCGCGGTAACTGGAGCTGAGATGAGCAGTGCTGAAGACGGTTTCATTTTAAATTGCAGCATGATTATCTAAATTGACCAGGCAGTGAGTGTTTTGAAAATGCCTTGCAAGTATTACCTAAATCAGATTAAGCCTTCAGTGAGTGGGGTTTGAATGAACCTCACCGACTCGCATAGATGCTCAAAGACTATAAGTAAACCTTGTAATGATTCACCGAACTGAATTCGACAGTTATAAACTATGTGCTGGCTTTTAGCTCGAAGCAGACGTTAAAAAGACTACCAAAAGAAGACGGATCAGAGTGCCATGTACAGGGGTAGTGAGAGCAGAACAGCGAGGACTAAAGCAGTGGATTAGGATTATGCAATGCCTAGAAAAAAGAGGAGGGGGTGGAGCGAGGAGGAGCCAGAGGCGAAGGGATCTTGGCTGCAGGAATCTAGAACAAGTTTTGTTTTGTTGCATGTTGGGTGCATACCATAACCCCCAGAGGCTGGAGGGGCAGAGTTGTGAAAGCAGGAAGCCTGATAATGTTTTGCACTCGACACACGTGGTTTGTGGATTACAGGGCACAAAAGTGTTTTGTTTTGTTGCCTTCACTCACACAGGCTGAATGCAAATCACCAGAGCCTGTGGCAGAGGCTGCCTACTTAACAGGCGAGCTGTTTGGAAACCTCAGCGGTAATAAGGATTTGCATTCGACCAGCTCAATGAAAACGGAGATTCCTGAGCTTGATCAACAGCAGATCTACCCTGTTATCAGTTCCACAGATCTGGGCCGCAGTACACAGAGTCAGAGTTGTGTTTCTTGTCCTAACCAGCATGCATCCGCTGCTCTGCTAATGTCCCAACATGCCCATGCTGAGAGGATCACTAGAAATGGACAAAGACCACCTTTATCCTCCAGCAAAAAAGCAAACTCTGTGCATGACACCAGTGATTTCTAAACTACATCATAACTTATGCAAAAAAAAAAAAAAAAAAAAAAAAAAAAATCACGTTTCAAGTTTAAATCACAATAATACAGCCGCCTTGGGCTATCATAGTCATGCCAGTTTGGCTAACAATTAATTGCCATAAAAAAAGAATTAACTAGCAGCAATTAAAATGTCAGTTTTACAGGTCACTTACACAGAATGCTTGACATAAATACAACTTAAAGAGACATTCATGAACTTGGAATCATACAATTTGCACTTTCAATGCATGTTAAACTGTTTAGCATTAGGGCAGCACAAAGTACTACAGCACTAGAAGAGAGACAAAAAAACATGACGTTCATGTTGCATGGATGATCGCAATCATATGATGTACAAGTGCAATCTCTCGTGCTTTGTAACCTCTACAAATCATATTAATAGGAGTTGGTTACAGGGTGTGAAGTCCTTTGGTGAAATCAACATTTAAAATGGGGAAGCAACGCACTAGGAACTGAGAGCATTTAGAGAAGTCTGAAGTTGTGTGCTAAGATGGCACTTGCTTATGTCAGGGCCTAATGAGAAATAGTTTGAGATTTATAGTGGAAAATCAAAAATTAATCAAATTAAACTGATATGCTACTCCAAGTAAAAAAAACAAACAACAAAAGCAGGAATAGCAATATTTAATCTAGGTTAGATAAACAAACCCTAGGGCAGAAAGTCTGATGATTATGTCAGAAGCAGACTGATGAAAAACGGTTCACAGCAGCCAGGCCTGAGCACAGCAGTGATGTGGTTTGCACATCCTCCTAGATGTACGCACACACCATCTTGGCAAGGCAAGCTGCAAAACTTTTAGATGGGGTCTAAAGTCTCAAAGTATTTTAGTTAGGTGGCTATGACCTAAAAGTAACATCTGAAGAAGAAGAAGAAAAAAAAAGCATAACTAGCATGATGTTAGTTTAAAGGTGGGGAAAGTGATATTTGAAAAACGCTGTTTGGAAGTTAGTCAGACCGACACACGAACAAACAACAACAACAACAACAACAAACCTGTGTAGCCAATCTTCAGGATTAGGGCACATATGACGGTGGAGGAGAGAGAACAAGCAAGAGGGAGATTTGAAGAAAGACTGCAGAAATAGAGATGAGAAAAAAAATACAAAGAGAAAAGCTCAGAAGAAATCACTGGAAAACAAAGGGTTATGACTGGGCAAGAGCTTTAGGACCCGCATTAATATTAGAAAAGCTTTCCAGCACTGGACAGAGAGAAACGGGAAGGCCTGAAAATAGACACAGAGGTTGCTTTGATTCGGGTCCACACGTGAGTAACACTGGGTTTGAGTGTCATTGTTTGTCTGGAGGTGCTGTGCTGTTGGCAACTGACAACAAACTCGTTCGTTCATCACTGCGCTTTATTTTTCGTGAAGCATTATTTTGTTGTGCTTCTGCTATGATGAACAGAAATCTACTCTTGGATTGCGTGCGTAACGGAGGCCAGCTAGTGAGAGTCGTGCTGACGACTGCTAGAGAATGCGGTGTTCAGCGTCATTGTTAGTGCACTCGACTCGCATGCCGACAACAATTGTCCCGAACAGAACCCATTCCCTGCTAAATATACAGCTTCACTCAATCACACATTACAGAAGTTAAATGCTTTATGATTTCACATTGAGATCACGAAAAGCTCACCAGCTGAAATTCCCTGCGCCGGTCATATGCGTTCTGTATGCCGCTGTCAGCCCAGAGGGCACGGATCGATGGCAGGTACTGCAGGAACACATTGGTCTCCACCATCCCCTGTGAGCCCATGGCTGACCGTGTGTCAAAAGCCATCATGGTGTCTCCATGTGCCTGGTTTGAAGGGTCTCCCCATGAGATATGCAGCTTTTCTCTGGCATCCACAAGCACTCGAACACCTGTGATGACAGCAATAGGAGGAACAATGTAAAAAAGGGGAATATTATGAGTGGCTCTCCATTGTATGATGCCGTGTACTGACAAAGTTCAATATGATGCCGTTTTCAAGTTTAATGAAGCAAACAACATTAGACCCCAAACACTTGGAAAATTATCATCATTTTTTCCATTTTCATCAAAAGTTTATCATTTATCACAATACAAGGAAATGGGTCTGTATGAAAGTAAGCATTATAACTGCAGTAGCCCATTAGGGTAATTATTAGTGGGGGGTGCGCATGAATGCGCGCTCATTTTTCACTGTCGCTTTTGAATTTGCAATCATGTGTACTCGGTCTATAGGCCTATAACTTGCAGACATCAGGGAGCTGCGAATGTGAGCTCACTTTCAAATTACCAATGAGTACTTTGTATATAGGGTCCAGTGGAACTGACCACACATTTTGCAAGATGAGATTTTTTTGTAATAACACTCAGGATCTGTTGCACACCAAATCCTCCACAATCATCCTGTCAGTCATCTCATCTCTCCTTACTTTGGTCACATAATAATTGAAATATGACTCCTGCTTCACTATGATGCGACGCTGCAGCTCGTGATGTAGACCCTTTCAGTTTATAGTTGTAGCATCTGTTGTCCAACTGAAAGAAGCAAAACAACAGTGCCCGTGGTGGGTAAGCAATGTGTATGGCCGAACACAACGTAACAAAGACTAACGCAGCAAGCCTAATACATGCATGCATGCATACATCTCAGGATAAAAATGAAATGCAGAGCCTTTGAGAAACTTCACACAACTACAAGGAAATTCATAACTTCACACTGACTGCACGATTTTAATAGAGCTGCACGATTAGTTGTCAATAATTTAATCGCTAAAACTTATCAATGGTAGATTAAGCAATGACATCATTAGAGCGCATATGGCTTTAGCAAGGTGTGTATGGCCCATGTGCAAAACAATAGGCTTTATGCACAGCTTCACTACTTCCTGAACTTCAGCCAGCCCTTTGTTTCCTGTCTGTCATTAATGGACAAACTGATTAATCCAGGTCTGCCTGGCCTCAGTAACAATAATCAGGCACACCTGGACTAATCAGTTTGTCCAAAAATGACAGACAGGAAACAAAGGGCTGGCTGAAGTTCAGGAAGTAGTGAAGCTGTGCATAAAGCCTATTGCAGCGACACACAAGGAAACATCGCGAGCGTGCGTAGTTTCGCATTGTAAATGTATTAATGCCTTCAAGCTAGAGGTTTATAATTATATTTAGCATTTTTTAAATATCCGCAGATAAGTTTTTCTGATTGGCCGATGTGTTGGAAGCAGGACTTTAATTTTGACGGACAGCGCATGAGAAGAGAACGGCAGCACCTGATCACACAGCAACCACTCACATTCTCCGCCTTTATTAGTTTACGATCTCTGTCAGTCATATCTAATACTTTGTTAGACAGAACTGGTAAATAAAGAAAGTAAATGGTATGCGAAAAAGTAGAGAGTTTGCTTTTATATTATTTGTAAAAGAAAAGGCAAATAATCAGGCTAAAATACTTTCTCATTTACCGTCAACATTCAACAAATGCGCATCTACATCATTTAAACAAATCTCTGAATATCTAATTTCACAAACCTTGCAGATTTAATCGAATCCAGCTGTGATATCTTGTGAAGTGTGCATTTGTAGGCTGCATAAACGTGTTCCTGCGAGTGACAGTGGGTCCGTGTGAAGTGAGTGAATGCGAGCAGAAGATCAGCTTCACAGACGCGATCGAAAAACTTGAAAGCCTTCATTTTAAATTATGCTGTGCTATATCCAGTTGCCCACTGTCATATTCATATAGTTTTCACTGTGTCCTGTATGTAAAATTAGCGTTACCTTGTCTTGTCTTTTTTTTCCCACGAAATTACCAGATTAAGTTTCCATCTAAAGTAGAAGCATGTTTTTTTTTAAAGATTTGTTTTCTAAATTTATTTATAATTTATTAAATATTGATTAAAATAAATATAAAGTATATATTCGTCTTTATATCGGCCACCCTGCTCTCTAAGATATCGGCATCGGCCATCAAAAAACACATGTGGCAGAAAAGAATCATGTGTATACTGTTTACACGTGTTGGCTATGTTTATTGTATTCTGCTATTGAGACCTTTTCAACAATATATAGCCCCTTTCACACAGCGCTTTGAACCTGGCAAATTGCCAGAGTGCCTTCTGTGTGAACGCAAACACGAGCCGGGATCGATGCCGGGTTGGGGACCTAGTAACATTGCCGTGTTCAGACCCGGAACGCGCGCTGTGTGAACAAAAGCCAGAACCAATGCCGTATAAGGGGTGTGTCGTAGTGATGATTCACGAGCCTTTGCAATAGCGTAGTTATCTTGCGACTCAGTTACTCTAGAAGAAAGTTTGTGTTCGTCATCGATACAAGAAAGAACGAAAACATGTCTGCAAACTGGACTGAAGTAGAGACCCGTCACATCCAACGTCACGCGTCTCTCCGGAACATACACGGGTTGTGTGTGAACGCGCTCTCTGATTCCGGCAAATCACTGGCCGTTTGAATGAAGCAAAATCAAACGAACCCGGGTCAAATCCCGGGTCACTTTATCCGTGTATTTTCCGGAATCTCTGTGTGAAAGGGGCTTATGTGTTATGTACAATGATTTTCCAGATCATATTTCCATGTAAAGGAGGTGTTTTTTTCATGCTATGAAAATAGAGCACTTCCAAAATCAGCAAATGTAAAGGCACTTGTGAAGGTCATATTCCCTAAACTCACTACAGCCAAGCGTCGCTTTAACACGACACCTATTTTGTGTTGGTTAAGCAAGTGGTTAAGTAACGTGATAACTTCGTGAGGTGAGGTGAGATTTGATTCGATTCAAGAGATTTGATCAAAAACGCTGATTCATCCAGTAAAGAAATAGGTGAAGTATTTAGAGTGATTTATTAAATCATTTATTCAAAGCGATTTTTTAATTCAAATTAAACAAAAAAGACAATTAGCAGCAATTAACATTGTCACAACCTCAAGTAAATTATGTTATGTTATTTTGTTAGTTGTGATCTCTAGGCCTATTTAAAAAAAAAAAAAAAAAAAAGATTCTCACACATTCCTGCACATGAAGCATTCAAAGGTACAACAGCATCAAGAGAGCAATATAGTTGCAATGTAGTAGACATGTATAGATTAATGGATAGCTGTTATCGTATTTAGCATTACTAATGACCTAGGGCTGCAGAAATACACAGAAAGCAACAGATTTCCTCTAAATTCAAACACTTTCATTTTAAAAAGACAACATTTAATAGAGACATATGCGGACGGTGCGCATACAACAGCACATGCGCCAGAAGAGACAGAAGAGTCACAACAATTGTACTGGACATGTGTCAAACTCAGTGTATGCTCAGTGCATATAGTTTGTAGCCAGTCACTCACTAACTGTGCTGTCATCATCAGCACATGCTACAGTGACTCTGCTCTCAAGTGTCTACATTATTACTGAACAGCATTTAGTGCAATAGACCTTAAAATCTATGCTACAGATATGTGGAATAAATGAGTTCTGCAGCACCCACACAAGATGGGTCTCAAATCTCATCTTAATTTATGCTTAATTGATATGTGCAGTAATTACAGTAAATCTCAACTGGATTAGACCAGTACATTTCAGTTGCACAGATTGTCCCCCAAGTCCCAAAAGAGCAAAATGTCCTCCACAGAGGTCTGCATGTGTCCTACAAAAGGCATAAAGCACCAGAACAACTTCAGTTGGGTCCTCAAGTTATCTGTTCCCTTTTGTAATGTAGTACAGCCACAACATGGAAATCCTGTTTGTATCAACACAAAGATAAAAAGATTAACGTTTTACTGATATACTTGTCCCAAGAAACAAATAAGAGCAAGTGACATCACCTACATCACTCCTGGGTGAGGGTTTGAGTATCAGTAGTGTTGGTCTCTAGTTTTGTATACTCAGATTATCAGCGTAGGAAATTTCCATTGTGAGCTGGTTTTCACACCTGTCTTTCTCTTTCAAAAACTGGCGTCCCCAGCAGTCATAGTACAAATAACCTGCTAAGCCTGTTTCCACTAGCAGCTCTCTCCCTCACAATGACACACAAAGACAGAGCACTTTTGACCTTTCAGATATTTTGGTGGAAAAGCTTGCTTGGTGGAAAAGTTCTTGGTAACTAAGAATGGTTTTTGAAATAATGAATGGATACTTTGCGGTTATCTTCCATTCTGCATAGAAACCAACCAACCTATCCCAACCCAGATTTAAATAAACTGCTCTTTCTAAACCATTTGTTTACAATCAGTTACGCTGCCAATATAACAAGCATTTGATGGAGGACTTCACACAATATTCTTCACCCTTCTAGACCTCACGTGCAGTTATAAGCCTGACCCAGGGTCTTTTCACAGGATAAGACCTTAATTGTTCTTGCCACTAGGGATGCAAATTATCGATTAATTCATTAATCATTATTTGATCAACCTTATCGATCGATTAACGATTAACTGATAAGCGGCTATTTTCCTGAGAATGTAAATGTCTCACGGTATTAATTTAACATAAAAAGCTAAATATTGCTTATATACTGAATAAAAATGCATGTTATATTGCTCAATTGATGTTTTATTGTAACAGTTAGGATGTTACAGATAATGGCATTTATGTAGTTTAACAAAATAAATTATGCACAGAAAATTAAAATACATAAAAAATAATTGTGCACTGGCTCACCTGTTGCATGTGAAACATTAAGCAACAAAAAATACATTTTAAATAAAAATCTATATGGGTAGGCTTAGCCTACACTATATTAATCCTACATATAAATAATCTATCTGGTAAACTACTTATATAAAAAAACTTGAAACATTAGCAGCAGCACTTATAATATAGGCTGAGGGGGGAGTCAAATTTACAACTTGTAATGAGTGGAAATAAGGTGTGGCCCCTTTAAGAGCTGCGCGCTCCCTG